GTGGCACAACCAGTTATTGAGTGTAAGGGGGCAATTACTTTTTCACACAGGGGAATTGGGTGTTGCATAACTTTGTTTATGAAATAAATGAAATAAATATGTAATTTTTGTGTTATTTGTTCACTTATGTTCCCTTTATCTAATATTAGGTTTTGGTTGAAGATCTGATAACATTCAGTATCACAAATATGCAAAAGTAGAGAAAATTAGAAAGGGGGCAAATACTTTTTCATAGCACTGTATATATTATTATTTTAATTATAACAAATGTCCAAGGTCTGGACCTCGGTGTCCTCATATGTAGTTACGGCCATGAGCGCAAGTTTATGGAAACTCGTATCAGACTGAAAATAATGTAATATAAAGCCCAGATCTAACAACGCCACTGAGAAGCAAAAACAAAAGTTATCTGAGACTTTGAAGGAACCAAGGTCAGAAAGACAACAAGATTATGGTAATATTTCTGATAAAGCTATCTGGTGTGAAACAGTAGGAGATAGAGGGGGTTAGTACTATCAGCTACATAGGTGAGAGAATAATAATAGATGGAAAAAGAGTGCAATAGAAATGTAGGAATGACTTTTCTCTTCTCTCTCTCTTTCTCTTTCTCTCTCTCTCATGTTAGCAGTGCTGAATGCTGTCTTTGAGATGAGCGGAAGACAGAGAGTCAAAGGCTATGTTCCAGAATGGAGGCTGCGCTACAGTCATGTTCAATTATGAGTTCATATACTGTAACACTCTAAACTACCATAAACTAGTCAGGAATAGTATAAAAGGCATTTTCTCTCATGAAATGGTAGATATATTATTATACTATCATTTGGATATGAAACAAACAGTAATGCCTCCCCCCTCCTCCCTTTCCCTCCTCCTCTCTCTCTTTCACCCCTTCCTCCTCCCTCTCTTTCACCCCCCTTTCATCATAATGTGATTAAAACCCAAAAGTAATGTGAAATGCACTCATAATTTATGACATAAGTTTCATCTGGGCTTGCTAGCCAGCTAAGCTAACTGCAGACTGGGCGGAGCAATGCATTATAGGAGGTGAACTGCACCTTGGGAATTGTAGTATGCTATAGTTGAGTGCTATGCAGAAGCTTCAAAAATGACAAAAATGTGGAATTGTGCAGTATGACTAACAAAAACAATAAAACATCCAAATGTGCATCAATTCTTACGGTAGTACATAAATTATATACAAACACATAATAACTGGTTATAGAGTGGTTTAATTGTTCTTTAAGCACTGTAAAGGGCTTTATAAAAATACATTTGATTGAATGATCTACACATGTTTGCTTCTGTACCAATTAAACTAAAGAAGTTGTCACCAATAAAGGGGGGTGATTTGGAATCCTCAGACTCTCTACTAATAGGATCTAGTGTCATACCATGAAGATTTGTGTCATTAGGGTACTGTCAAAAATTGACATTCTCAATACAGGTCCTCATTATAATAAATAAAAATAATAATACAAGATAATCAGCTGTGTACTTGGCGGGCAATCATACCCATCTCAAAAGCCAGGACATGGAGCTGTTTTTATCAGCCCCACCTACACCACTCTACACCTGACACACTCTCCTGGATATTGTCACACTTAATGTGCCTACTGTACAATTGTTGGACGGTGCAGATGAAATGGTAGAAAAACTGAGATGAAAAGCTCTACACTCTACTCCCCAACTGGCACTAGAGATCAACCGTCTACTCTGCTGTACTGCTAAACAATGTATTGTCATTTTGGAGTCACTTTTATTGTAAATAATAATATAATATGTTTCGGAACACTTCTACATTAATGTGGATGCTACCATGATGACGGATAATCATGAATGAATCGTGAATTATGATGAGTGAGAAAGTTTCAGAGGCATAAATATCATATCCCCCCCCCCCCCCAAAAAAAAATGGTGAGAGGTTAGCATGTTTTGGGGGGCATGATCTTTGTGCATCTGAAGAGTTTCATTCCAAAACGCTATATATCCATTTTCAGAAACCTTTTATTGTTTATAGAAATTATGAAAGAGATTGGTGTGTTTTTTCACTATCTAGTCATGGCATGGGGTTGTTCAATGATAGACATGTATTTATTTAAAATCTATCACTTGATGGTTTCATTTCAGAGAGACAAATAATCATGTTTCTTTTTGCAAAATGCTACATATCCACCTCACTCTCAGACAAATAAATAGTACTGCTAGGTTTTACACAGTTAAATGTAACAAATAATTACATTTCTTATAAAGAACTGTACAAATGATACACTTGTGACATCAACATAAAAATGAAATAAAAATTAAATACAGTAATATGAGATCTGTATGTAAAGCATTTACATTTGACATTTTATTCACTTATCCAGAGCGACTTACAGTTAGTGCATTCATCTTAAGATAACTACAGTAGGTGAGACAACCACATATCACACTCAAATATACAGGATACAAACATTCCATTCCAGCTAAACAATGGATATATAGCATTTTGCAAAAAAAACACGTTTTCATACACATTTAAAATCTATGAATAAACAAGCTGAGTACAGTAATGTTTTACATACATATGAAGGTACCCATAAGTAATAATTGTTCACAAATGTGAAAAATTGGTGGATATAGTGTTTTGGAAATAAAGTATTCATCTGTAACTTTCTCACTCATCATTATTCACGATTCATTCATGATTATCCATAATTATCCATTATCCACATTAATGTGTTCAGAAACGTGTTCTATTCTTATTTACAATAAAAGTGACTCCAAAATGACATTGGTTAGCTATTAAACAGTCTAATTGCTTGGAGATAGAAGCTGTCTCAGAGCCTGTTGGTCCGAGACCTAATGCTCCGGTACCACTTTCCTGACGGTGGCACAGAGAACAGTCCATTGCTTGGGTGGATGAAGTCTTTGTCAATTTTCTGTCTCTTTCTCAAACACCACCTGGTATAAATGTCCTTGATGGCAGGGAGCTCGGCCCCAGTGATGTACTGGGCCGTCTGCACCACCCTTTAGTCTTGTTCTGACAGATATGTTATTGGTACAACAGATAAGATAATGTTTTGTATTGTGGAGCACATACTTATTGTCTTGTTCTAACAGATATGTCATTGGTACAGAATGAACACTAATGCTAAAAAGCTATCTGTCCTCGTACTCCTTGATTTAAGTGCAGCCTTCGACATTGTAGATAATGTTATCCTCCTGGATAGACACCAGAATTGGGTTGGCCTGTCAGGCTCAGTACTGAACTGGTTAAGGACATCTGACAAATAGAGAATATTTTGTTGCCCTAGGTGAACATGTGTCTGAAAAAGTACCGATCTCATGTGGTGTGCCTCAAGGTTCCATTTTGGGTCCTATACTGTTCAGTCTATGCGTTACCCCTTGGTAGTATTATTAGGAAACATGGTGTTAATTTTGATAGTTATACTGATCATACACAGCTGTATATCTCTGCATCACCTGACGATGTTAGCCCAATTAACACCCTGGTTGAATGTATCACTGACATAAATATATGGATGGCACAAAACTTCCTATAGCTAAACAGAGACAAAACCAAGGTTCTGGTTGTTGGTGTTAAGGCCCATAGAGAAGAACTGATGGCACATTTACATTCCCAGGCTAAAAACAGGTGTGACTCTGACGTACATTTTGAGTCTCACATCTGAAATGTGACTAAATCAGCTTTTTATCACTTAAGAAATATTGCCAAAGTGCATTGGTTTCTCTGCCAGGCCAACACTGAGAGACTAATGCATGCTTTTATCACTAGCAGACTTGATTATTGCAATGCTCTCCTTTCTGGTCTTCCCCCCAAAAAACATTGGCCAATTACCATTAATTCAGAATGCAGCAGCACGTGTGATTAAGAAGACCAGAAGGAGAGCACACATAACACCTATTTTATACTCCCTGCATTGATTGCCTGTTAGTTTTAGAATTGCTTTATTGTTTTTTTTTTTTTTTTTGCACTATGTGGCATTGCACCCAAATACATGTCTGGTATGCTTTTAAGATATGTGCCCAGTCGGTCCAACAGATCCTCTGCCACTGGCCATTTAGTTGTTTCAAAGGTCAGAACCAAAATGTTTGGTGAGGGTGCCTTCAGCCACTATGGTCCTGGCCTTTGGAACAGGCTGCTAGAGGATCAAAGGGCCTCAAAAACTGTAGACATTTTTAAGAATGTAGGATCTTAACTTGATTACTCTTTTGTTGCTGATAATTTCCCTGCAAATATGTAGTGTATTTGAGTTTTAAAAAGGCTTGTAAAGTTTGTCATTTTCACTTTCAAATGTCAGACGAAAAATGTATCAACCCCTACAAAAATGTCCATTAAATATGATCCACATAATAATTCACATTTCCTGTTGCTGCATGATTATTTTCCTGCTGTAGCATACTGGCTCAAATTAAGATTCTACATATGTAGGACAAGCCTTTCTAGCCATGTTTTTACTTAGGGTGTTTTTAACCATGCTCTCTATGTTATCCCATTCTATTTACCTTATGTATTTATTTTGTATGCATTAGTCTCTCATGTCCAGCCTACTTTTATTGTAATATTGTTTGACTATTTTAATTTGTGTCATTTTAGAGAACGTATGGTGTTTTTATCTTTCTCAATTGTATTATTTTATTTGTTAAGCGCTTTGAAATGCATCCCCTGTAAGAAATTGATTGGTTTGATTGAACCACTAGAACTCAACAATAAGCCTCCTAAAATAGCATGAAAAGAGCAGGGTAGGATCAGAGAAACAGACCGCTTGATACAGCCAAAATAAAGGCTGCTACTGTACAATTTGTGATATTGTGTTTTTGCGTGATTTGGACCCGTTAATAGCGCGTATTGGTGCAGATTTCACGGAGCTCAAAATGTTTGAGCGATTCTACGCGCTGGGTGTGATTGCACAATTGGCCCTGTGGAGGGGTTCCTCGGCCTACGATTAGAGACAAAACCGTGAGTTCCCAGACAAAACCGTGAGTTCCCAGAAAGCGACCGTGCTGGGCAGAAGGCGGGTCCAATTATTTCAACATGTTTGTAGAAACCGTTGATTTCTCTCTGAGTTCGCCCGCATTTGCAGTCCAGAGGGGAACCGCAGCCGATGTCCCTTGCAGCACTCCACACATTATTTATTTTGAGATTTTCTTTCAACACTGACATTGCTGCCAACTGAATGCGTGTGGGTGGTAGAGGGACAGAGCATTGATAGACAGATAGATAGATCTTTGTTTTCGTCAACGACGCCCACTCTCTACTTGCTCCGTAGAACTTCTAACGAAGCCGACTGAGGATGGACGGGAACAGAACCAGCGACCCGAGCTGCAGGGACAGACCTCCCGTGGCCATCGACATAATTTTCCGTGAGTTGAACCACTCGTCTGGGCCTATGTTTTCTATAGGCAACTTTTTTATACTAGCCTATCCATAACTTTTCAGCTGCTCTGGGCCAAGTGCCGTTATTTTCTTCAATCTGCCGGCGGTTAGGCGTACTCTTTTTCTGACAGCTTGATTGCACCTGTCGTCATAACATAAACATGTAATTGCCACCCATGTGCCTGGGCTATTAAACACTCATTGAGGTTCGGTAACATTTTAAGCGACATTGTTACAGACTGAGCTGCATATTAATTCAGTCACATTTGAGACTGTTGGAGTCTGGAGAGATTAGCCTAACCTTTTAAAAATCGAATAATCCCTTTAATCCAATAATATAATTTAGAAACTGACACTCAGTGACTTGCTTATGATTTTTCAACTACTGTAAACTCTCCTGTGCCTGTTGCTTTCAAACTTCTGTTATGATGTAGAATTAACATACCAACATGTTTTTTAGGGTGAGGGTCAACAGTTCTACATCATACCCCTGCACTGCATCACCTGAGCTCTGAATCCAGTCTTGAAGTGTGTGTGTGTGTGTGTGTGTGTGTGTGTGTGTGTGTGTGTTGGAAAGGAGGGTGCATTTGCCTCCTTAACTGTTAAATTGTGGTAAACTAAGTTGAGGTAAGATGACCCTAGATTTTAAGAAGCAATGATTTCACAACACTACATTAAAACACATCTGTTACTGGCATCTGGAATATTACAGGGGGGACAGTTAACTTCCTACATTTTGCCAGGGGGCAAAGAGAAATGTGCAGTTCTATAGCTAATCTCATGCTATTCTACACATTTTGCCATGAGGCTGAGAGAACACTTTGATTGTTTAAAGCTAAAATATAAGTGTGTTGACTGTGATAAAGGCACTGGATTATGAGCTGTCTTGTTTGCTAAATCAACAAATGAAATAGGCAGTGACATGGCGCATATAGCCATAGAACCTCAGTGACATATGCCTCAATGTGGTCATATTCGTGGCTTATTGGGGGTGTAGCGTTCAGGTAGTTATTTTTGGACACCCATCCCAAGAGAGTGAATGTCATTCCATTTAATCTGAGTGTCATTCCAGTGCACTTCTTGCTATGAATTCTATCTGAGAGTGTTTGCATGTTTAGGTATGTCTATTTTAGATTATGGGGATATTATCTATATGCATGCAGCAGCACTTAAACCATTGTGCCCTTAGGTTTATTACTGGTGATGGTTATAGAACTCACCATTGTGTTTTGTATCTCTTTGTATGTAAGGAGAGAGCAGCATTTTCTTGTTTATCTACAAAGCACTCATGCAGAAACGTACTATGTATCTATCATCATTAATTCAATTTAGGTAAAAAGACAAATAATGTCCCGTTTGGAACACTGTCTAGTAGATTGCATCTTTTTTATTTTTTGTATCTGATTGGGATGGGGGAGTGAGATGAGTGCTTACGCCGCTACCCTCATCCCATCCCTCCCCTCTCTCTTGTCTAATCATGTCCTTATGGGTCTGTCTATGCCTGTTTCACAAGCCAAGTTGCCCACTTCCATAACACATGGCTTTGTCTGATGACACATTTGTTGAAGTGTATTAGTGTATGTGTTAGTGCAGTCTTAGTTAATTGTGTGTGCGTGTGTGTGTTTGCATGAGTGAGTTAGTTACTCAGTCTTTGGCAGAAGGTGCTCTTTTCCAACATTTTTTCCTTTACTACTTGTCTTGTTTTCCAGAAAACAACCATTTCTCTTTCGCTCTAACTGATCTAATCTGTTCATTACATGTTTTCCAGAAAACAACCATTTCTCTTTCCCTGAAATTGACTCACCGATTCATCATATGTTTTTCGGAACTGGAAGGTCAGAAATTAGTTCCACAGAAAGTGGTAAAGTCAATCACCAAGCCCCTAGATTGGGTAGGTGTATTGTCTCTAGAACTGGACAGGTCCTTTAGTTTCGTGGACTCGCTCTTATTGCTTTCATCAGTCTGTTTTATTTTATCACACCAGTGCAGGTGAAGAGAGCGGACACCAGGAAAGAAGGCTACTTTAGACTGTTGAAAGTTTATAGCACTATAGATTTTAACTGTCTCTCTTCCTCTCTCTGTCTTTCTCTCGATTCCTTTCTCTTTCTCTCTCTGTCTTTCTCAATTCAATTCAATTCAACTCAAAGGGCTTTATTGGCATGGGAAACATGTTTACGTTGCCAAAGCAAGTGAAATAGATAATAAACAAAGGTGAAATAAACAATACAAAATTAACAGTAAACATTACACTCAAAAAAGTTCCAAAGGAATAGAGACATTTTAAAATGCCATATTATGTCTATATACAGTGTTGTAACAATGTGCAAATAGTTAAAGTACAAAAGGGAAAATAAATAAACATAAATATGGGTTGTATTTACAATGGTGTTTGTCCTTGTGGCAACAGGTCACAAATCTTGCTGCTGTGATGGCACACTGTGGTATTTCACCCAAAAGATATGGGAGTTTATCAAAATTAATTGATTTGTTTTCTAATCCTTTGTGGGCCTTTGTAATCTGAGGGAAATATCTGTCTCTAATATGGTCATACATTTGGCAGGAGGTTAGGAAGTGCAGCTCAGTTTCCACCTCATTTTGTGGGCAGTGTGCACATAGCCTGTCTTCTCTTGAGAGCCAGGTCTGCCTACAGCGGCCTTTCTCAATAGCAAGGCTATGCTCACTGAGTCTGTACATAGTCAAAACTTTCCTTAAGTTTGGGTCAGTCACAGTGGTCAGGTATTCTGCCACTATGTACTCTCTGTTTAGGGCCAAATAATATTCTAGTTTGCTCTGTTTTTTTGTTAATTGTTTCCAATGCGTCAAGTAATTATCTTTTTGTTTTCTCATTATTTGTTTGGTTCTAATTGTGTTGCTGTCCTGGGGCTCTGTTTGTGTTTGTGAACAGAGCCCCAGGACCAGCTTGCTTAGGGCACTCTTCTCCAGGTTAATCTCTCTGTAGTTGATGGCTTTGTTATGGAAGGTTTGGGAATCGCTTGTTTTTAGGTGGTTGTAGAATTTAATGTCTCTTTTCTGGATTTTGATCATCTCTCTCCCTCTCTCGGTGTGTGTCTGTCTTTCTCTCTCTCTTTCTCTCTCTTTCTGCCTCTCTCTCTCTCGCTCCCCTCCCCCCCCCTCTCTCTGTCTTTCTCTCTCTCTGCCTCTCTCTCTGCCCCCCCCCCACCCCTCTCTCTCTCCTCTCTCTCTGTCCTTAGAGTTGGACATCTTTGGTATCATCCTGTACTCTGTGCTGACCTTCATGGCAGCGGTGTCCATGCTGGTCTACATAGAGGAGTGTTGGTACATCTACCAGAAGGTTCCCTCCCACAAGAAGAGCGCCATCATCTGGGTCAACGGGGCAGCGCCGGTAAGAACATACTGATTATCAGGAGCCTTTAAAGGTCGATCTGGTACTTACTACTTTCATATCCTCTCCCTGTGACAACTCATTGTGCTACAGTACAAACACATCCTGTCAGTTTACTAGGAAATGCTAGGGCAGTAGCACGGTTAGGAAAGATGCGTTGTTAAAGTATCCAGATTAAAGCTGTATGTCTCTGCTCTATGTCTGTGTGTGTCAGGTGATCGGCACCATGTCCTGTCTGGGGATGTGGATTCCCCGAGCCACCATGTTCACTGACATGACCTCCGCCTGGTATGTCACTCATCCTTCACTCCTTTTCTCTTCTCTCTCTCTCCTTGTCTTTCGCTTTCTTTACATATCAGTTTCTCTTTCATAATGTCCGTCTCCCATCCTATCCTCTTTCCTTTCCTTTCCTCTCCTCCACCTTCCATCTCTCCCTGTGTCTGTGTGTGGGTCTGGGCTTCTCTGGATCTCAGCCCCCTGCTGTGACAGGCAGGAAACTCTGTAGAGTGCAGGAAGACACATACTGTGTCAGCAAAACATACAGAGTGATACTAAAAACACTATTACAATAGTGAGTGTCTGAATTCGTGCTTGTGTAGTTCTTTCCAAACCCATCTCCCTCTGTCCATCTTTTATTCCCTCCTTCCCTCCTCGTATATTCTTAGTGTGTGTAACGTGTGTGTTTGTCTCCGCAGCTACTTTGCGATCGTAGTGTTTAAGTTTCTGGTGCTGATGATTGAGGAAGTGGGGGGTGACGAGGCATTTCTACGGCGTGCAGGGGAAAACAAACTGAGGATCAGTACTGGTCCCTGTTGCTGCTGCTGCCCCTGTCTACCCCATGTTAACATCACACGGTAACACATGCACACACGCTTACACAAACACGTACACACACACACTGTTCAGGATCAAGTGTAATTCATAGCAAGACCTGTTTCTTGGTTGTGTCAGAGTCCAGCTACTATGTTAGTAGTAAAACACTAGCTGGATTTGTTTAGGCTCTGGCAGGTTGAATGTACCCACTCCCCCTGGCTCTGTATGGGCCCCTCCATGTCTCACAGCACATCTGACATTATCACTCCAAATACGTCCCCTATAGGCATGGCCTATAACAACATTTTAGAAATATGTACAAATAATTATAATTTTCAGTATTAAATATTTGTTGAATCTTTTCCTCTGGTTTTCCCCAGACGGAGTCTGTTCCTGCTGAAGTTGGGATCGTTCCAGTTCGCTGTGCTAAAGATCGTCTTCACCATACTGTCAATCATCCTCTGGACCAATGACAACTTCGACATCGCAGACGTGAGTGTGGGGCGTCAACACACACATACATACAATCACACACACATATGAACAGTCACACACATACACACTCATAAGCACACACCAAATTGTGCTTCAAAGGAAGAGAACACGTTCTCAATACACACAGACACACACTCCCAACACTGTGTGTGTGTGTGTTCCAGATGGCGATAACGGGAGCAGCTATCTGGATTAACCCAGGTGTGGGGGTTCTGACCATCATAGCACTGTGGCCTGTAGCCATCATGTTCATGCACCTCAGGATCACGCTGCGCAGCCTCAAGATCATCCCCAAATATGCCATGTACCAGGTAAGATTACACACATGCCATGTAAGTGAGCCAATCTGAGGAAAGATGTACAGTAAGGCCCTCTTCAACCAATCAGAGGTCAGTTAATTAATTCCCTGAAATGACAGCAGTTGCAGCAAATGATAACTTGTGTTTACCTGTTTACTCCTGCAGAGTGCTGTCCTTTTTGTGTTTACCTATGATATGTTGATGTGTTTTACCTATGATATGTTGATGTGTTTTACCCGTGATGCTGTGCATGTAGTTGGTACTGGTGCTGAGTCAGCTCCAGTCGGCCATCATCAACATCCTGGCTTTGAACGGAACCATCGCCTGCACCCCGCCATACTCCTCACAGGCCAGGGGATACTGTGAGTCTCTCTCCTTATCTCCATCCATCCCTTCATCACTATATCCCTTATTACAAACACACACAAACGCTACTGCTCTCAGGCAAGCACATAACTTAAGTAACCTATCCTCCCTTCCTCTCTCTCTCTCTCCATCTGTAGTGATGAGTCAACAGTTGTTGATCCTGGAGATGTTCATCATCACCTTGGTAACCCGCCTGTTGTACCGCCGCCAGTATGACCCACTCCCTGATGACGAGCATGACGATGAACACACCAAGAGGGTTCTACCGGCTCTAACAGCGTGAGGGCGAGAGAGACTGTATCTGTGCGTGTGAATGTGCATGTATTAGAGACAGTGTGTATGTGTGGTTTTGTTAGAAAGGGAGAGAGTGTGTGTATGCGCGAGTGTGTGTTCAAGAGAAAGAGTATGTGTGTATGTTATGTTACACTGAGGTCTGCAGTAAGAATTTAATCAGTCATGTCATTTTCTGGGTGAGCAACACTGTGAAGATTGATCAGAACTCATAATCCCTCAGCCAGTGTGTTTGGATGTGATAGTGTTGCTATTATGTGACTGTAATCTAAGAATCATTTCAGAAATGTATTTTTCCTCACAAGTTGTATATTTTGCCATAGCCATGGTGAACCTTATAGTGTATCATCATGATCAATTTATAATATATCAATTTTTAAACATTTGTTCTAGGATTTGTGTTTTGTCATTTGTTTTTTTCATAGGCATGCAAACACACACACTTACACACACACAGGTATTGGTTATGGGTTCTCTGTAGCTCAACTGGTAGAGCATGGCGCTTGTAACGCCAGGGTAGTGGGTTTGATCCCCGGGACCACCCATACACAAAAAATGTATGCACGCATGACTGTAAGTCTCTTTGGATAAAAGCGTCTGCTAAATGGCATATTATTATTATGGGTATGTTTGGCAGACTGTATTTGTAAAGAACCCTGTATTTGTTGTAGTGGCAAACTTGCTCCACTTGGTGACAGTAGGAAACAATGGGTTCGCTTGGCAGAGTGACACTGGGCAGTAGCCTACATTGATAACATTTGGATAAGGTCATTCTATCATAATCATGATCAACACAGACACACAACTCTTTATTCTCTCCTCCTCCTATCCTCTTTAGACCTTAAACTTGTGGAATCTGAGTTATCACAACCCAGATGCACTCTGCAGATAAGGTTTAGTTTAGAACTCCAGGTGAACATACCAAAGTAACTAGCAAATGGCAGGCACAAATTGAAACTTCAAATAATTGTTATAATTTGTATTATTGTAAAGGATAATTAGTAGATTACTTTGAATTTATGTTCCAAGCTCTACCACTTTCTAGTCAAGGCTACTGTATCCACAGGTGTTCTATGTAGGCTAGTTATGTTGCTGATCTGTTGCCCTCTCCATAACTTATTCAAGGTTAACTGATGTTTATGATAGACTATACACAAAAAAAAAAACGATGGATCAGTTACATGCGGTTTGGCATCAGTTATCAAGGATACACGGTGACTGCTCCCGTTCTAAGCAACATTGTTTAATTCTATCCAATTAACCGACCTGTCAAACCGCTACAGACCCGCCCCTTTCTGGCAGACAGACCAGCCCTTCAATCGCTATCTCCCATTTTCTCTTTTCCGGGTTTGACAGAGCAAGTGTCGACCAATCACCGTTAAACATCAACAGAGTCGGAGTCATGCGCGGTTGAGTCGGGGCTCGCGACAGTACGTACTATGCAACTATGTTGCGTCGAAGCTATTCCGGAAAATAGAAGCGCTATATTTTGTATGATTTAGCAACAGTAACATTTGAGTTATATCGTCCAGTGATTTGCAGGTCTAGACAGAGAGAAACGTCAAATGAAGACGTTGTCTGGGGAGGATGCACATCGCTGTCAGTGTCATTGGATGTGGTGGAGTGTTTTTAATTTAACCATCATCATTCCGGAACGACATCTACAATAGCAACTTTTCACAATGAGGCTGTTTACGGTTTTATTGAAAAACACAAAAAAAATTGAATATTATTCAAGATTTTCACCGTCGCCTCTCTCCATCAAGCAATTTTTGGAATTTGGTAAGTAGCCTAGACTAGGCCTACACTGTCTTTGTGATGGGCTGTCACTGTCAATGTGTTTTAATTTTAGGCTGTTGTCTATTATTCTGTAATATTAATGAAATCCTGACGAACAAAAATAAGGCAATGTGAATCTCTGAAGGTGAACATCCTTGGAAGTGTTGTTTTTATTCCCTTGAATACTGTCAAAATGATTTTCTAGACGTTTTTCAAGAAGTAAATGCTGAGTATAGGTTAGTAACATGCTCCACTATGTGATTTCTGCTAAATCATCAGTTTCTGACTGCTAAGTAACAATTTAGTTAATGAAGTCAAAAGGAAAGAGTTCTGTTTCTTTCTCCCTATCTCTCTATATCTCTCCCTCTCTTTCATAAAGATAGATAGGCTACACTCACAGGTGTACAGAGGGCTGTTTATTACTAGTTGAACAGGTCTACAGTAATAACAGCTCATGTCTTGTTGTGTCACTGGAACAGTTAATAATCCTGTTTGTGTGTGTGTGCGGTACATCCGTGTGTGCCTACTTGCCTGCGTAACTGTCTGCCTATTTTCTGACTGTGTTCAGCCTCTTTGCCTATTTGAGCTTTTCTTATCAAATTAGCCCGCTTCGGCCCAGCATTAGTCGCCTTGGGCACCTCTCCCTGGAGGTTAAACAAACATTACTCATTGCTGTTTCAGAACACACATTGAAGTCTCTATGGATAGACTGTATGTAAGTGAGAGAGAGTGAAAGAAAGATGCTGGGACGTGCCTATAGTCAAACACACAGCAGCTCCGGTATTTCCAGCATTGATCTCATTGTAACCGTGGTGGGATGTCCAGTTGTTCACATCAGTATGTCACAGAGGGGTGTCCAGGGGCGGCCTGTTCAATAGGGCGATATGGGCGACGCACTGCCAAACGGGAAAAGGAAGGGATTTTTTTTCTAATCAATTATATCACGGCAACAGTAGTTATCAGTGTTGTAATCTATACGTCTGATCTGCCACAGTGCCACACTGCCACTAAATGTCGAATCAGGCTAAAGTCGTGCTTCAAATGGCTCCCCCCCCCTTTTGGGGCGATTTCAGTCAGGTTGAAAATCGCCCAGAAGTCTGTCATAGACTCCCATGTAAAATCTATTTTTTTCAAATTTCAGAGCCTTCAATACAATCTCAATGGGTGTCTGTGGGCTTGCACTTACGCGCTTTCGTCATACGTTACGTAACCATGAACGTAACTGAGAAAAGAGCGGATTGTTTGAAAGAAGTTCCTTTTTGTCGGCGAACAAATGAAGATAAATTGGCAACGAAACAATTAGGACCTCCCAGACCAAATTTAATAATTCAACAGGTTTCTACTAAAGGCGGAAAGTCCTACACCCGAGGATTTTCCAAAAATTGGTACGAACGAAAAAAGACATTGCCACTCACTCAACTGGATGAGGGATACAGGCTAGCTGTCCGCCGCCACAACGATGAGGTTAGTGTTGATAATCACAAGTTTACTGGAGAACTGAGACCAAGTAGAGACTTTGGACAGGGTGGATATGGTATAATAAAGGCAGTTTATTCAGAGGTAAAGATATCTGGAATCGCGTTCACGGACCCGTTCGTCAAACTCTTAGGGAGCTATAAATTAAGCCCCATTACTTACCATATCAGATAAGAGAAATTGCTGCAGCTACATATATTTTACATCCTGGCCCTACATAGTTCACTATTTGCATCACTTACCAAAATATTACATGTGGTCATATATGCTTGGAAAGTGGAGATGCCATAGAACGTCAAAAAAGTAAACATTGCTGGAGACACATTGCCGTTTTGGAGAAGACATCGCGTTTGCTAGCGAAGAGATTTGTTGTGGCAAATGAACTTGGGCTGGGAATTGCCAGGAACCTCACGATAAGATATATGCATCAGCATTGCGAGTCTCATGATTCTATACGTATTGCGATTCGATACTGTGATTTTATTGCGCACCATATGTCTGTTGCAGAGGGATCAGAAAGCCATGAGAACGAGTTTTGATCAGTCATGGAAATAAAAGTGCTGAAAACAAATTGGCTCCCAATGTGAAAAGATTGAGAACAAGCTATGAAGGAACAATAATGGTGTTTTGGTGCAGGTACAGCCAACTAGCGCTAAAATATTGCGATATTGTCAATACAGTATATCGTAAAGTATCACTATGTAACTCGATTTCTTTCACCCCAATCCCTCAAATTAACGGTAAATAACTGAATTGTTTGCCCCACATTTAGCTAAGATGATTAGCTAGCCAGCTAAAATGTTTTATTTAGTTAGCAGTCGCATCTACAATAGTTTACTGTCAATAACATGTCTCCAAAAATGACGTGGTGTCTCCAATTGTGTTGACATTTTACAATTGCGATGCGCATCCATGAGTATCCACTTTCTGTAGCTCAGCTGGTAGAGCATGGTGCTTGTAACGCCAAGGTAGTGGGTTCGATCCCCGGGACCACCCATACACAAAAATGTATGCACGCATGACTGTAAGTCGCTTTGGATAAAAGTGTCTGCTAAATGGCATATTATTATTATTATTATTATTATTATTATTATCTGAAGAGAGCCCCGAAACATTGTGTGCAGACATTTTATGCAATAAATGAAGTAGGTTGAATCTAGTAGTTCTGATCTTCTGATTGGTCCTGATGAGTTGGGCGAGGTCCCCTCCAGGCTACTGTCACTGTTGCATTGGCTCTGAGTCGGGTTCTCTGTCTTCAAATGTTCAGCCTAAGAGAGGGGATTTTTGTGTGTGTGTGTGTGTGTGTGTTTAACAGTGATGATGTGTGTGTGTGTGTGTGTGTGTGTTTAACAGTGATGATGTGTGTGTGTGTGTGTTTGTGTGTGTGTGTGTCCTCAGAGCAAGAACTCGTGAGTTGGAAGAACTGAGAGGCCTATGGCGTGGGTGTTGTCCTTGGCCACCTGCTGACAAGGCTGACAAGATAGGACCCTTTTGTCCATTGTTATTGGATAGGAACAGAACTTATAACCAGCTCCTGACCTAAATAGATCTTAGCACAACATTTTACTCAACATATCATATTCCATATTCACTATAACAAATATATTTACTACGACATTAGCAAGAACCGCCACATCCTCAGCCGGCTAATCCAGTGTGTGAAGTTTTGCGGAGTGTTTGAGTTAGCTTTGCGAGGCAAAGATGAAACTGAGGGCTCCACCAACCCTGGTAAGCCAACACTTTTGAGATCAGTCAATAAATGCTTCTGGTATTGACTTATATGCTGCCCCTGTCTTCATGTTGTTGCTGGACATATCTTTTTTAAAATGTGTGTAGGTCACCTAAATCATCAGAAAAATTGCCCCTCCTGAGAATTTTTTCAGGAGCCGCCACTGGGGGTGTCTTATGGTAGAATGCCATTTGCTTTTTAGAGTGCATTTCCCAGTCAACTTTTAAAAGACTCCCTCGCTTCCCCTCCCACCTCCTCCTCTAGGTCGGGACAATGCGTGTGAGAAGACGTCCTTTATGTTCCTGAGGAAGGAGCTGCCGGTGAGGCTGGCTAACACCATGAGAGAGGTCAACCTGCTGCCTGATAACCTTCTCAGTCAGCCCTCAATCAAACTGGTGCAGAAATGGTGAGACATTAGCCAGTCTGTTTGTGCTATCATGCCAACCCCTTGTCACTTATTGTCATGCCATACACTTGACGATGAGCAAAGGAGTTGGAAAAAGCACAAACAGATCTGGGATCAGGATAGTGAGACATGAGTCATAACACATAAACATGCCAGTGACATCAGCACAAACATGCAATTTACATACCCCAAACTTATTGAATGAACTCTGTGGGTATGCGGTGTGTGTGTGTGTGTGTGTGTGTGTGTCTGTCTGTGTGTGTTTTCCCCTCAGGTACATGCAGAGTTTTGTGGAGCTGTTGGGGTATGAGAACAGAAAACCAGAGGACCCTCAGGCCCTCAATGAGTGAGTATGGAGGACAATGTTTTTTTCTAGATGTTTTATTCCTTGTTGGTTCAACAGATCAATCAGCTGATGTTGAACTAAAGACAACAGGGAGGTAGAATAGTGTGAGAACCTGAGAGGGGGATGAGTGGAGCTATGAAGAGGTGGAGGGGTAGACGTAGCTTACTGCTAACCGCCTGTGTCCTTGTCTTCAAACTCACCTGATGCTAAACTCCTGGACTTACATGTCCAGATAATATATTTATATTTATACCATAATAGTGTTCACACCATGTGAGAGCGATTTAGATAGGAACCACTGATAACAACCCCAGCTGACAACTGAGGTATTTTATTACCACCTCCCTTTTTCTCCTCTGCCATCTCCTCCTTTCTCTCCATCTCTCTCTCAGTTTCCTTGAGTTGTTGATAGAGATCCGTAACCGTCATAATGACGTGGTCCCTACCATGGCCCAGGGAGTGATAGAGTATAAGGAGAAGTTTGGCTTCGACCCCTTCATCAGCAGTAACATACAGTACTTTCTGGACCGCTTCTACACCAACCGCATATCCTTCCGAATGCTCATCAACCAACACAGTGAGAGCACACACACACACAGATGTGTATATACACACACACACACACACAATACACTCTGACACACATTTACAACACATTAATACACACGTCCACTGGACGATGTTTAAGATATGTGGACTGTGTGTGTGTGTAAAGGTGTTATGTCTTTGTTGGAGCTATGGTATCCATAATGTTCATGTCTGTCTCCTCAGCTCTCCTGTTCGGGAACGACACTAACCCAGCCCACCCCAAACATATCGGCAGCATAGACCCCACCTGCAGCGTGGCTGAGGTAGTCAAAGGTGAGGGGTGTGTCTTTGTCTCACTCACTGTGTTTTTCAGAAGCAGTGGTAACAAATCAAATTGTATTTGTCACATGCTTGGTAAACAACAGGTGTAGACTAACAGTGAAATGCTTACTTCCGGGTCCTTTCCAACAATGCAGACGGAAAGAACATAGAGAAATAATAGAAAGGTAAAATACGTCATAATAGATACACAATGAGTAATGATAACTTGGCAAATACAAGGGGGTACCAGTACCGAGTCCATGTACAGTGGTACGAGGTAATTGAGGTAGATACACTATATATACATAAGTATGTGAACACCCCTACAAATTAGTGGAGTCAGCTTTTTCAGCCACACCCGTTGCTGACAGGTGTATAAAATCGTGCACACAGCCATGCAATCTCCACAGACAAACATTGGCAGTAGAATGGCCTTACTTGAGAGCTCAGTGACTTTCAACGTGGCACTGTCATAGGATCCCACCTTTCCAACAAGTCAGTTCGTCAAATTTCTGCCCTGCTAGAGCTGCCCCTGTCAACTGTAAGTGCTGTTATTGTAAAGTGGAAACGTCTAGGAGTAACAACGGCTCAGCTGCGAAGTGGTAGGCCACACAAGCTCACAGAACGGGACCGGCGAGTGCTGAAGCGCATAGTGCGTAAAAATCGTCTGTCTTCGGTTGCAACACTCACTACCGAGTTCCAAACTGCCTCTGGAAGCAACGTCAGCACAATAACTGTTAGTCGGGAGCTTCATGAATTAGGTTTCCATGGCAGAGCCTAAGATCACCATGCGCTATGCCAAGCGTTGGCTGGAGTGGTGTAAAGCTCGCCGTCATTGGACTCTGGAGCAGTGGAAACGCGTTCTCTGGAGTGATGAATCATGCTTCACCATCTGGCAGTCCGACAGACGTATCTGGGTTTGGCAGATGCAAGGAGAACGCTATCTGCCTGAATGCATAGTGCCAACTGTAAAGTTTGGTAGAGTAGGAATAATGGTCTGGGGCTGTTTTACATGGTTCGGGCTAGGCCCCTTTGTTCCAGTAAAGGTCAATCTTAACGCTACAGCATACAATGACCTTCTAGACGATTCTGTGCTTCCAACTTTGTGGCAACAGTTTGGGGAAGGCCCTTTCCGGTCTCAGCATGACAATGTCCCCATGCACAAAGCGAGGTCCATACAGAAATGGTTCGTTGAGATTGGTGTGGAATAACTTGACTGGCCTGCACAGAGCCCTGACCTCAACCGCATCGAACACCTTTGGGATGAATTGGACTACCCTCTGTAGCGTCTTGCGGTTGGATGCCAAGCAGTTGCCATACGAAGCGGTGATGCAGCAACTGTATCACTTTTTGAGGATTTGAGGGCCCATGCCAAATCTTTTCAGCCTCCTTGGGTTAACCAAACCCAACTCTAACCCTAACCTCAACAGTGATGATGGCAGTTTTCTGAAGCGAAACAAGTCATCTCTCTCCCCTTAGCCCCTTCCTATTTTTCCTCTCTCATCACCACCCCTAAATGGTTCTGCTTTTCTTAGGTAGTTGTGTGCATGCATGCATGCATCTGTCCATCATGTGACTTTGCCTTCCTGTTTCAGATGCCTATGAGACAGCCAAGATGCTGTGTGAACAGTACTACCTTGCTGCCCCTGCACTCCAGATCCAAGAGTTCAACAGTAAGACATCTTCCCTGTTTTACGACATCTCTGATCCCCCTCCATGTTGTCTAATGTACAGTAAACACACACAGAAACTCTTTACCTTTCTTCACTCTCTGATATCTTTGATCTCGATCTGCTGTCTAAACACATACGCTTTATCTTTGTGGTTTCTTAACATCTCTGATCCCTCTCTGTGTGAGAGATAAAGGAGCTCCACCTTTAAAGAGACGTGTTGTGTGTTGTAACCACAGGACTGCTTCTATTTAGAGACGGTGGTTGCAGAGGCCAGATTTTGTCCTGCTGTGATTAAAATGCAGAGAGTGCATCTCACTAACTCCAGCCGTGTGTGTGTGTGTGTGTGTGTGTGTGTGTGTGTGTGTGTGAGATGTCTTATTTTCTCTCCCTGTGTCCCAGTGAAACAAGACAAAGACAAGTCGATCCAGGCTGTGTATGTTCCCTCTCACCTCTTCCACATGCTGTTTGAACTCTTCAAGGTGTGACGCACACGCACGCAAATACACATACACAATGCACGATCATCATCATACTAATAAAACTGACCGTTGTGTGTAGAACTCTATGCGGGCCACCGTGGAGCTCCATGAGGACAGTAAGGAGGGCTTACCTCCGGTGAAGGCCAAAGTCACACTGGGAAAAGAGGACCTGTCCATAAAGGTAACACACACACCTGCCAATACTAAGACATGCCATCTTTGAGTGGGATGTATGATAAATGCTTCATAAATTGTTATATTTACTATCATCTTTTACCCATTGTGTCAAATGTACAGTAGTGACATATCCTCTTTCTCTTCCTTTCCTCTCTCTTTTATCTATCTCTGTCAGATCAGTGATAGGGGTGGAGGTGTACCTCTGAGGAAGATCGATCGTCTGTTTAACTACATGTACTCTACTGCCCCCACGCCCAGCCTAGAACCCTCCAGCACTGTTCCACTGGTACACACACACATACGCATTGTTCCCCATATTTCTCAGGTTTTCTGACTCATCATTCTGAAGCCAGTAATAGATGCCAGTGTTTTTATGCAGTGATTGTAAACAACTACTTCTGAGAAGTGGTTGCCCTTATACCACACTCTCCCCCTCTTGTCTGCTATCTCTTTCTCCACGCTTTCTCTTCCTCCTCCCTCCGTCCCTCCAGGCAGGTTTTGGCTATGGTCTGCCCATCTCCAGGTTATATGCCAGGTATTTTCAGGGAGACCTGAAGCTCTACTCCATGGAAGGGGTGGGCACTGATGCTGTCATTTATCTCAAGGTAGGAGGGGCTTTTCTCACACCACTAATCATTTTGATGTTACTCTGTGATTTTCAGGCTCTGATATACCTCTGCTCTGTAATACTATTCACTATCAACATTTATAGCAACATCACTCCATCCCTTTTCATTGGTTCCTCTTTTGTCCCGCCCCCAATCCAGGCTCTGTCCAGTGAGTCGTTCGAGCGCCTGCCCGTCTTTAATAAGTCGGCATGGCGACACTACCAGACCAGCCCTGAGGCAGACGATTGGAGCAACCCAAGCAAAGAGCCACGAGACACCAGCAAATCAAATTACAAGGCCAACCGATAACTCTGCCCTAAAACTCTTCCCCCGCCCACCTGCCTGGCACACTGAACTCTGCCCCTTCAATGATCCCCTCGCTACCAAAATCATAATGGGTTGAACTTCAGCTGCCGCTGCCACACAACTCCCTCTGCAGTCATTGATGTTGTCCCAGGGTGGACTTTAGAACAGGATTTTAGCCCCACCCCCTGACTCCTCTGATTGGTTATTTGGTCAGTTGTTCCTCTTCACAATCTGTTCTAAGTGGGACTGCAGCGATCAGATTGGACAGACAGTCAGTTTGAGATGGATGAGGTTGAGTTCAGTCACTCTTTCCTTCTATCTCCTATATTCAGCTTTACTGACCACAGCACCCCTTGTGGTTCTCTCCAGCCACTGCAGCTAGAGGCTCGGTCTTTGTGCTGGGAAAGGTATCTGTTCTGCTCTCTCTGTGTCCACGGTTTGTTCAGTCAAACATAATAGAACCTCTGTTTCGCTCTTCTCTCCCCTACAAAGCAGCAGGCTGTGACAGGCTGAGGATTTGGGTTTCAGACCCGACAGAGAAAAGGACCTCCTTTTTTCCCTTGAGGACACAGTTTTGAATGGGCACTAATCTCGTCCACCAGCCGAACTCTCTGTCGAACCGTCTGGTCTCACAGCGCCTCAGAATGGAACTTGAATGGGAGACTATGGCAGGAGCGGCGAAAACAGCCGTCTGTTTTAATTGGCTGATCTCTGTCCATCACCATCTAGCGCAACCCTTAGAACCTACCACAGCTACATTGTGGACTTCAAAGCGCAAGTGATTTAAACAAGGAAGTGAGTTCAGAAAATCTGAAAGTACGCATATTGGAAATAGTTTTCACATATTAACTTTATATGCCCAAAATCAGAATCAATTGGGCTTCCCAAAAATAATATGGTTTATGTAATTGAACATTTATTTTGATTGACGATTTTTACAACTTTGCAAAGTCCCAGCTAATAAAACTGTGGCAGGCTCTCACGCCCTCTCGGTTTCTACTAGCTTCCATAGCCACAAAGTCAGATTCCACAGCAACAAAGTCAACATTGTCTACAAAAATGAGCTTTTTGGTCTTCATTTAAGGTTAGGGTTAAGCATAAGGTTAGCAGTTTGCTTAAGGTCTCATTTTTAAGAAGAGACATTTTAGATATAGGCAGGGTTAATGACTTTGTGGCTGTGTTAACTAGTGAGGACCCTCTCCCGCCTCGAATTAAAGCCACGCCTCATAGTCGTGTGATTCGCTTAGAAGTTGACTTGATTAGTATGTCACTCGGTAAATCCACACCCCCTAAGTTTCAAACAGTCCCACCCTATTACGGTCCCTGCTATCAGGAATCCAAAGACGTTCCTACCCCTTTGAAGTTTAAATGTAAAATGGTTTAGGTAAGGGTTAAGGCAGGGGCGCAACTCTCACTGGGGATTCTGAAATTGCATTTTCTTCCCCCCAGTTTTATAATTGGAATGTGATACAAAACGAGCCTTTAGGACCATGCGGACGTCCCCGAGTTGTCGGGTAGGCTGTTTGGAGTGTTTATCTGACTGGATATAGGGTTTAGGGTAGGGACATCCCAAGGATCCCAGATAGCACTGACCACCCCCGTTACCAGGCTGTAGGCGCCAGTAATTCGAGCCGGGACACGACTGGCACGAGGTTAATTGGGCACAAATGGGGTCAGTGTGGGCCGTAGTCATAGTTACGATTGGTACGGTTACAGTGGCGCGCGCCAATGCCAAGTTATAGAAAATAGTTGCAGTGAATAACTATGCCTATATGAACGATGGGATCAAGCTTTAAACTAACTACAGATCATTATTATGCATTACGTATGTTATATTGTATATTACAGAAAGAATCAGGAACAAACCGATGTATCTTTTTTATTATTCCATTATCTCAGAAAGAGAGGGAGACTTGGAACTCTGAGGAGTTAAAGAAAAAGTATTGCATGTCAAATGCCCTGATGGCTATAGTTTCATTTCAACTCCATTCCAAAAGGGAGATTTCGTTTTTATTATATTTTAAATGTATTGTGACGTGTTGGTTTGACAGGAGAACATAGTGAAATAGTCATCCTCAAACTTTCCCCCAGATCTTAACCAGCGATACTGATCCTCCCGAACCCTTTGAAAGGTCAGAGACAGCCCACCTAGCAGTCTTGCCCCCTTTCTAAAAACCTCTGGCATCAAGTTGTTTCTATTGAACAAATTGGTGCCGCATTTAGGAGGTAATCTATAGGAAGCATTGATCTGAGCCTCAAAGAAAATGATGTTTTTAGGACGCTAATGTTAACTACAGATGGTTCACCATGTGAGCCTTGTCTTTCATGTAGTTTATTGCTTATAAACCTCACCAGCATTACATGTGTTACTGTTAACCCTCCCTGCTCCTTCCACACCCTGATAAGACCATGCAAAGGCTAAATTACCAATCCTAAAGATGGCTACATTATGTTAGCCTTGTTTGTCCACCTGTGGCACCATCAACCCTGCAAAGCAATATGAACATTCTCACGTTAACCAAGACTATCGCTAACAATGTGGTATTCACTAAACCTTCTGTCTTCTGAACATTGAACGAGCTTGAACATCAACTGGAGTATTTTGAATGGTTTTCCAATAAGACATGTAATGGTTGTCATTGGTTGAAGTGTGTGAATAATGCTCTTCAAGGATGGAAGGGAATGGATTAAATTAATATTTGTATCTAAGTGTCCAGAAGAATCTGGGGTGTTGTAGTGGTGTTACAAAGTGGCCATTTTGAAACTCCATTGTTTGTGCCGGAGTATGGACCTGTTAATGGCGCTTTAGGGAACAAATATATTGTATTCCTGGAACAAGGGTTATTTTGCATAGGAACAGGGTTGTGTTTTGATCATTTGTTTTTTACTTCAATTTTTTAGCTGGATGATGATTATTTCTGAGGGCTCTTTCCGCCCTCTTTTGATTTTAAAGGTCACAAGCTACAGTATACACATACTTTGTTTTTCTTCATCAATGTCTTCATATGAGGATTACATTTCATTCAGGCCTCTCTAATAAGGATCAATTGTCTTAGTTAACTCTGGGATAATATTACCTTGTTTGTTTGTGTTTCTAGTTATCCTCATTCGCTGGTTTATGAAAAGTGGGCCAAACTTGGACCAATCATGGAGCTCAGATCAGCTGACATCATCCATTCTCAGTTTTCAGCAAAACCTGAACTAACTCATTCCAGCACTGCCAAGGAGGCACCTAAAATGAGTTCAAGTAGGCTTAGCTGTAGATAAGGTAGTGAATCCTTCCTTACCTTTATGTACCTCTAAGGTGTTAGTAGCTTATATTGTATATACAGTATGGTAATATATTGAACTGGTGTGAAGTGATTACTCATGTATCCTTACTGTATCTCTGATGTAAGGAGATGACTGTGCACTTTGTTTGAGCTCCTCCCTGTAGAGAAAGATTGTGCAAATGTATGCAGCCCATCTTATCATAAACCAGTCACTTTTGTATGTATACATGTGGAACAGTAGCGGCTAGCTTAGACAGTAGACACGGTGAAATACAACAATATAGAGGTATTCAGCATGAGATCAAGCTTGCAATACCTACTGTCAATTTTCCAAACCTACAATAAAGAGAACAAAAAACGGACATTGTACGTCTGTTCTATGCATGCGTGCATCCAAGTCTGTATCTGTTGGAAAAAGAGAGATTGAGAGGAAACAATCACCAAGCTGCTTCTCTTTCAATGACTTTCATTTTCTATTTATTTACATATTACGCCATTAGGAATTATACATTAGAAAATAAGACCATACAAACAGAAAGACACATTCCCAATCTTGTACACACAGTGCAGGGTTACATATAATGAATACGGGACAAGAACGTCTCTAAGGTGGATCAGGAGGTGTGTGGTAGGAAGTGATCTCGTGGGTTTCCGCTGTGGAACAGTTGTGGCCTATGATGTGTCATAGGGAGAGACATCAAGTTGAAGAACAGTTGTGTGTCATGTGACTAGCTGGGCGAGAGAGCAAGAGGAGAGCACAATGATTCTACTACAACAGGGCGGGCCAAGCTTATCCACAAAGGGCCAGTGTGGGTGCAAGCTTTTATTCCAGCCACCTGATTCTAGGGCCACACCAGCCCTTTGTGGATGACACTGACCATCCCTGTACTATACAACCTTTGCTCTCTCATTTCTAATAAGGACGGCTTCTGAATAAGCTGTCACAATTGTACATTCTAAAAGCAAATAAATTGACAGATCAGTTTCTCCAATTGAAAGCACTGTTTACAAGAGACAGGCCGGCCAGGCGGCCATATTGGGAAAGCGGGAGGGGGGAGGGACAAGTGTTCTGTTCGTTATGCAATCACCAATCACGTACTAAGTTCCATGGTGTTAACATTGTTGAAACGTAACATCCATTCATTTATGCAGTCGCTATGTAGTCTCGGATATCCCAGACCTATGCTGGAACATTGTTAACACTGTGGGAGGCAACTCTTCTGCCTAGGGAGACTAGTAGCTATGGAAAATCATCTGGTACAGAATTATTTGTGATTCAGTGGGGTGCATCTCAATAGTCTAAAGTGGCCTCTTGTCTCCCAGGAAGGCTGCAGTCACACTATTACTCCACTAGAGGACAGTGTTTCTCTGTTAAATCTACAAACTAGGCCACAGTCAGTATGCACCACATTACAGAATGATGCAGTTAGAAACAGAATGCATAGGGCAGACACAGACTATTCTCTTACTGTATAGTATAGAGAACTGTGTCTGTTTGTCTATAAATTCAGTCTCTATCTGGAGAGTTCTGTAATGGTGTAGGTCTACTCACCAGGGTTGGGGCCATTTAAATTCCAATCAATTCAGAAAGTACACTGAAATTCCAATTCTCTTCAATTAGGAACATTTCAAATTGGAATTTGGTTTACTTTCTGAATTGACTGGAATCAAAATGGAATTGACCCCAACCCTGCTACTCACGTAATATCACAATGCAAATAGTCACACTGCAGACGATTGCTGTAAAATTGCATCTATCATGTTTATCCTAGTTTTTCTCTAAAATATGACAATAACATGAGATTTAAAAACAAAAAGAAAGGATAGAGAAAAAGGAGGACATAAAATGGAGTGATATGATCAACAGGCAATCTTTTATTTACCGTCTCTGTCAGACCTGAGCAATCGAAAACAGGTCTGTCGCATCATCTTCTGTTCTCTACACTCCCGTCTGCTTCGTTGCCCAGGCAACAGAGACTGTGATGGCTTCTTCGTGCTACAGCACTACACTACATTTCCCATGTCTTGCATATCTACAACTTCCTTCAGCATCCAGTCATTGCTGCCAGTGTGTGGAAGGGGATGTCGGAGAGAGAGAGTGTGTGTGTGTGTGTGTGTATGTGTGCGTGTGACAGCACCTTTCAGGCAGTATGTGAGTGTGTGGTCTTAAGTGTGCGTGTGTGTGTGTGTGTGTATGCATGGCATCAGCTGTTAGGCGTGTGTATATGCGTGGTGTCAGGTGTCTGTCCCACAGTCCAGGCCCCTATTTCTCATTCTCATCTTCCTCACTCATGCTACTGAAAGAGGCGGATGCCCCTTTGGGTGAGGAAGGGGAGGCTGGTCGGGGGTGAAGCCAGCGAGAAGGGGGAGACGGGGAACGAGACAGAGAAAGTTGCCGGGGGGGACTGTTGCTAGGTGATCCGTGGGGTGATAGGGCGTAGGAGATCATCCGACCACTACGCTCACTAAACACCTGTTTCTGTTAAGAAACAGAGATAAAGAGGTTTGTGAGAGAACTATCACTTCAAAGACTAGGACTAGGCTAGAGGTAGAAGCTAAACACAGTTTAGGTTCATAGATCAGATTTGCAAACAAAGAAGTGAAATGTCAGATGAGTGATTGTAATATGTCCATGAGTGGAGCATTAGAGACAGGCTTTAGCTTACCCACGTTCCATCTGGGCCAAACAGTTCCAGGAAGTTACCGATGAACTCCCGTGATTTCTCCTCCCACTTCTGTATGAGGTCATGGCTCTTCTCCTCCACGCGGTAGACAAAGTGTTTACTCTTCTCCTCCACCGTTTTCACTTTCTCCTTCATACGGTCCACCTGGTTCTGCAGGCGGTACTTCTTCTCCTGAGGTTGGAGGAAGGTTGTAGAAAGGTGGTAGGATGTTGTAGGAACGTAACTGACATTCAGGTAACTGCCAACATAAAGAAAACACCAACATAGTGTCTTAAAAGGGCGTTGGGCCACCACGATCCAAAACAGCTTCAATGCGCCTTGGCATATATTCTACAAGTGTCTGGAACTCTATTGGAGGGATGTGACACCATTGTTCAACAAGAAATTCCATAATTTGGTGTTTTGTTGATGGTAGTGGAAAAAGTTGTCTCGGGCGCCGCTCCAGAAGCTCCCATAAGTGTACAATTGAGTTGAGATCTGGTGACTGAGGCGGCCATAGCATATCGTGAAACATCAGAAAGTTGAGCAGTCTTCGTCACTGAAGCTCCTGCCAAACGTGCCCCAAACAATCATCTCTCTTTCGAAGTCACCAAGATCTCGTCTTCTTGCCATGGTAGCCAAAATAATTGGCAACAGTGCCTGCTCAGCATTTTTATACATGACCCTAAGCATGATGGGATGTTAATTGCACACCTGTGTGCAAGCACCTGCTTTCAATATACTTTGTATTCCTCATTTACTCAGGCGTTTCCTTTATTTTGGCAGTTACCTGTATGTCTCTCAACAAATACACAGACAGAACATACTGTATGTCTGTCTGTGTGTGTGTTCGTTGAAAGACATCAGTTACGTTCCCAGTGAACAGAGTACACGCACACACATTATTTTGAAGGTAGACACCACACAGACACACACACTTACATTGATGAAGCTGACATTGAGCTCTTTAGCGGTGTAGCCTCGCTGTAGATTGCGTCTAGCGTAGAGGTCGTAGTCTCGTACAATACGAGTGATCAGGTCAGAGGTCGAGATACCCTCCGTCCGCTGAGTTGGCACAAACATGCCTGGAACACACATACACATATTATAAATACATACATGGACGAACATGTATGTGTTCGTCCATGTATGCATACACGGATCATAAATACAGCTTCACACACACACTCACCTGCCTCCTTGATGTGTTTGTAGACGTCCTCAGTTCCTGCTGAGGAGTATGGGATATCATCATGAGCCACAAAATCGATCTGAGAAACAATCAGAACACAAGACAAGAATCTATACACAATCTATAGCCAATATATACACAATCTCTACGCAATCTCTACACAATATATACACAATCTCTACACGATATGTACACAATCTCTACAGTCCATACACAGTCTCTACACAGTCTATACACAGTCTATACACAGTCTATACACAGTCTCTACACAGTCTCTACACAGTCTCTACACAGTCTCTACACAGTCTCTACACACAGCATGGGAGAAACAAAATGAAAACACATGCTGATAAACTGACACACAGAAAAGAGACATGCCTGCATCATATATACTCTCTATACACACACACACACACACAGAGAGAGCTTTGATGGGAATAGACAAACACACACCTTGTGCTTTTCCAGGAAGTCCTGTGTGAGCGTCCATGGTGCGTCTCGGACCACTTCGTCGACATAGCGACAGTGTCTCAGAGCCTCGTACCTCTCATCCTCCGTCATCACAGTGAAACCCTTATACTTATGGGTCAGCTCATCACTACACACTGACACGCACACAGACAAACAAACACACACACGAAACATAGTCACAAAGGCACAAAGAAACAGATAGCAAAACATGTATGAGTTATTCATATAAAGGGTCATTATAACCACATGTGTGTGTGTGTATTTGTGTACATACAGTTGAAGTCGGAAGTTTACATACACTTTAAGTTGGGTGAATTTTGGCCCATTCCTCCTGACAGAGCTGGTGTAACTGAGTCAGGTTTGTAGGCCTCCTTGCTCGCACACGCTTTTTCATTTCTGCCCACAAATGTTCTATAGGATTGAGGTCAGGACTTTGTGATGGCCACTCCAATACCTTGACTTTGTTGTCCTTAAGCCATTTTGCCAGAACTTTGGAAGTATACTTGGGGTCATTGTCCATTTGGAAGACCCATTTGCGACCAAGCTTTAACTTCCTGACTGATCTCTTGAGATGTTGCTTCAATATATCCACATAATTTTCCTTCCTCATGATGCCATCTATTTTGTGAAGTGCACCTGTCCCTCCTACAGCAAAGCACCCCCACAGCATGATGCTGCCACCCCCTTGCTTCACGGTTGGGATGGTGTTCTTCGACTTGCAAGAGACCCCCTTTTTCCTCCAAACATAATGGTCATTATGGCCAAACAGTTCTATTTTTGTTTCATCAGACCAGAGGATTTTTCTCCAAAAAGTATGATCTTTGTCCCCATGTGCAGTTGCAAACCTTAGTCTGGCTTTTTTTAATGGCGATTTTGGAGCAGTGGCTTCTTCCTTGCTGAGCGACCTTTCAGGTTATGTCGATATAGGACTCGTTTTACTGTGGATATAGATGCTTTTGTACCTGTTTCCTCCAGCATCTTCACAAGGTCCTTTGCTGTTGTTCTGGGATTGATTTGCACTTTTCGCACCAAAGTACGTTCATCTGTAGGAGACAGAACGCGTCTCCTTCCTGAGCGGTATGACGGCTGGTGGTCCCATAGTGTTTATACTTGCGTACTATTGTTTGTACAGATTAACGTGGTACCTTCAGGCGTTTGGAAATTGCTCCCAAGGATGAACCAGACTTGTGGAGGTCTTGGCTGATTTCTTTAGATTTTCCCATGATGTCAAGCAAAGAGGCACTGAGTTTGAAGGTAGGCCTTGAAATACATCCACAGGTACACCTCCTATTGACTCAAATTATGTCAATTAGCCTATCAGAAGCTTCTAAAGCCATGACATCATTTTCTGGAATTTACCAAGCTGTTTAAAGGCACAGTCAATTTAGTGCATGTAAACTTCTGACCCACTGGAATTGTGATACAGTGAATTATAAGTGAAATAATCTGTCTGTAAACAATTGCTGGAAAAATTACTTGTGTCATGCACAAAGTAGATGTCCTAACCGACTTGCCAAAACTATAGTTTGTTAACAAGAAATGTGTGGAGTGGTTGAAAAACTAGTTTGAATGACTCCAACCTAAGTGTATGTAAACTTCCAACTTCAACTGTATCTACATGTGTGTATGTGTGCATACCTCCCACTATGAGGTATGCGTTGGGGAAGAGGTTCTTCGCCTGCATCAGGGCTCTGGCATGGCCGGAGTGGAACAGATCAAATATCCCATCTGCATATACACGTACTGGGCGGTCTACTGGAGAAGACAGACAGAGTTTACATCTAACACATAACACCATCAGGAGAGGAGAGAAGCAGAAAAGTGAGTGAATGTGAGGAGGAGAGGAAAAGAAGAAGAGACGTCTATGAGTGAAGATGCTGAGGATGGGAGGAAGAGAGGATGAAGAATAAGGATGAGAGGAGGGATGAAGAGTGCCGTGTAACAGAGGACGAGAGGAGGTATACCTGGGGTCCCTCTGCGGGCTTGAGCAATGGAGAGTCTCTCATGAGGGGCGTGGCACTCACAGCTGGTGTCCTTAGCAAAGATAGCAGGCTCAGTCAGCATCTGAGAGAGGGAGGAGAGAGATTTAACTGTTAAGTACTTTTTTGGTTCAGCATAATGGCGCTAACAACGGCATACTAAAACAGCACGCATCAAATTCAAACCCCTACAAAACTCTTTCACTCCTTTCAACAAACAGGGCGGCAGGTAGCTTAGTGGGTAAGAGCGTTGTGCCAGTAACCGAAAGGTTGCTGGTTCTAATCCCCGAGCCGACTAGGTGAAAAAATCTGTCGATGTGCCCTGGGCAAGGCATTAACCCTATTGCTCCTGTAAGTCGCTCTGGATAAGAGCGTCTGCTAAATGACAAAAAAAAAAAAGTCACCTCATTCAAGTTCTTGGGAGTATGGCTAGACGATACACTGTCCTTCTCTCAGCACATATCAAAGCTGCAGGCTAAGGTTAAATCTAGACTTGGTTTCCTCGATCATAATATCGCTCCTCTTTCACCCCAGCTGCCAAACTAACCCTGATTCAGATGACCATCCTACCCATGCTAGATTACGGAGACGTAATTTATAGATCGGCAGGTTAGGGTGCTCTCGAGCGGCTAAATGTTCTTTACCATTCGGACATCAGATTTGCCACCAATGCTCCTTATAGGACACATCACTGCACTCTATACTCCTCTGTAAACTGGTCATCTCTGTATACCCGTCGCAAGACCCACTGGTTGATGCTTATTTATAGGGCTCACTCCCCCCTATCTGAGATACCTACTGCAGCCCTCATCCACCACATACAACACCCGTTCTGCCAGTCACATTCTGTTAAAGGTCCCCAAAGCACACACATCCCTGGGTCGCTCCTCTCTTCAGTTCGCTGCAGCTAGCGACTGGAATGAGCTGCAAAAAACACTCAAACTGGCCAGTTTTTATCTCCATCTCTTCATTCAAAGACTCAATCATGGACACTCTTACTGACAGTTGTGGCTGCTTCACGTGATGTATTGTTGTCTCTACCTTCTTGCCTTTGTGCTGTTGTCTGTGCCCAATAATATTTGTACCATGTTGTGCTGCTGCCATGTTGTGTTGCTACCATGTTGTTGTCATGTGTTGCTGCCATGCTATGTTATTGTCTTAGGTCTCTCTTTATGTAGTGTTGTGGTGTCTCTTGTCGTGATGTGTGTATTGTCCTATATTTTTATTTTTAATCCCAGCCCACGTCCCCGCAGGAGGCTTTTTGCCTTTTTGTAGGCCGTCATTGTAAATAAGAATTTGTTCTTAACTGACTTGCCTAGTTAAAAAAAGGTTAAATAAATAAATAAAAAATGGTATGGAGTGTCAGAGACACAACATGATAGAAGAGCGTGTCAAAGAGGGAAGAAAAGGAGTGAGATAATGTGACAAAACCAGAAAAAATAGAATTTGAGAGGGGGATGAATAGAGGAACAGGAGATGCAGAGAGGGAAAGCGACAGAGGAAGAGAGGAGAGAAGGAAAGTTGAATGACATTCATGTCCCCTTCTTGATAGTCATCCCATGTCTCTCTCCGGCATAATTCCAGTAATTAGATTATTGATCAGGGCTGATATCTATTCTCTATCACAACTATTGATTACATGATGAGGGGACAAGCAGCACTCAGTGCTATTGATCCGCTACTGGCTAAAATGGAACTTCATCCCTCCCCCTACTAACACCTCATTTTCCATCTCTCTCTCTTTGTCTAGAGGGATAGAGAAAGAGGAATTGGAACATGCATGACTTCCTGTTCCCAGTGACTTCATGGATCCACTCCCAAACACACGAGAAACCTGAGAGACATAATGGAGACTACAGCGCATTCGGAAAGTATTCAGACCCCTTGACTTTTTCAACATTTTGTTACGACAGCCTTATTCTGAAATGGATTAAATAAATAAAAATCCTAATCAATCTACACACAATATCCCATAATGACAAAGCAAAAACAGGTTTTAGAAATGTTTGCATATGTATTAAAAATAAAAAACAGAAATACCTTATTTACATAAGTATTCAGACCCATTGCTATGAGACTCGAAATGGAGCTGAGGTGCATCCTGTTTCCATTGATCATCCTTGAGATGTTTCTACAACTTGAATGGAGTCCACCTGTGGTAAATTCAATTGATTATACATGATTTGGAAAGGCACACACCTGTCTATATAAGGTCCCACAGTTGACAGTGCATGTCAGAGCAAAAACCAAGCCATGGGGTCAAAGGAATTGTCCGTAGAACTTTGAGACAGGATTGTGTCGAGGCACAGATCTGGGGAAGGGTACCAAAAATGTCTGCAGCATTGAAGGTCCCCAAGAATACAGTGTCCTCCATCATTCTTAAATAGAAGAAGTTTAGAACCACCAAGACTCTTCTTAGAGCTGGTCGCCCGGCCAAACTGAGCAAACGGGGAGAGAAGGGCCTTGGTCTGGGAGGTGACCAAGAATCCTATGGTCCCTCTGATAGAGCTCCAGAGTTCCTCTGTGGAGATGGGAGAACCTTCCAGAAGGACAACCATCTCTGCAGCACTCCACCAATCAGGCCTTTATGGTAGAGTGGCCAGACAGAAGCCACTCCTCAGTAAAAGGCACATGACAGCCTGCTTGGAGTTTGCCAAAAGGCACCTAAAGGACTCTCAGACCATGAGAAACAAGATTCTCTGGTCTGATGAAACCAATATTTAACTATTTTACCTGAATGCCAAGCATCACATCTGGAGGAAACCTGGCACCATCCCTATGTTGAAGCATGGGGGTGGCAGCATCATGCTGTGGGGATGTTTTTCAGCAGCAGGGACTGGGAGACTAGTCAGGATTGAGGCAAAGATGAATGGCGCAAAGCACAGGGAGATCCTTGATCAAATATCCCATCTGCATATACACGTACTGGGCGGTCTACTGGAGAAGACAGACAGAGTTTACATCTAACACATAACAGACTGGGGCAAAGGTTCACCTTTCAACAGGACAATGACCCTAAGCACACAGCCAAGACAACGCAGGAGTGGCTTCGAGACAAGTCTCTGAATGTCCTTGAGTGACCCAGCCAGAGGCCGGACTTAAACCTGATCTAACATATCTGGAGAGACCTGAAAATAGCTGTGCAGCAACGCTCCCCATCCAACCTGACAGAGCTTAAGAGGATCTGCAGAGAAGAATGGGAGAAACTCCCCAAATACAGGTGTGCCAAGCTTGTAGTGTCATACCCAAGAAGACTCTAGGCTGTAATCACTGCCAAAGGTGCTTCAACAAAGTACTGAGTAAAGGGTCTGCATACTTACGTAAATGTGATATTTCTGGGGGTTTTTGGTACCCTTCCCCAGATTTGTGCCTCGACACAATCTTGTCTCTGGGCTCTACGGACAATTCCTTCGACGTCATGGCTTGGTTTTTGCTGACATGCACTGTCAACTGTGGGACCTTATATAGACAGGTGTGTGCCTTTCCAAATCCTGTCCAATGAATTGAATTTACCACAGGTGGACTCCAATCAAGTTGTAGAAACATCTCAAGCATGATCAATGGAAACAGGATGCACCTGAGCTCAATTTAGAGTCTCATAGCAAAGGGTCTGAATGCTTATGTAAATAAGGTATTTCTGTTTTTTTTGCAAAAAATATCTAAAAACTGTTTTTGCTTTGTCATTATGGGGTATTGTGTTTAGATTGATGAGGGGAAAAAAACAATTTAATCCATTTTAGAATAAGGCTGTGTTTAACAACAAAATTTGGAAGAGAGAGAGAGAGAGAGAGTGCAACTGAACAGTAACCATTATCACAAAACACACAGCGCAGTCTCCTCTAGAGGGCCACATAGAAACCAAGGTTTCTTGATTTCTAGGGATAGATAGGATCTTAGATTAAATAAGAATCGTTGTTCTTATTAATACTTTTGTCTACATTTGTCATCCATAACACTAAATATTTAAAGGCAGTTCCACCTGTACATATTCCATTGGGATAAGGGCTGAGGAAGAACAGAAAGGAGGTGGAGATAAAATCATAACATCATCAGATGGTCTTGTGAGCTCCCAACCCCATAGTAACAGATGGGGCAGAAAGGAACAGTGAGGAGGACACACTGAGGTAACGTTTCTCCCACAATCCACTGCAAGGTGAGAAGGGGGAGGAGCCCAGTGTGGACAAAGGGCAGGCGGCGGCCTCGGACGATCGACAGATCAGAGTGACCGCAGCGAATGTGCTCACTAAAGCCCTGAAACTGGCGCAAGCAGAGAACATCTGGTGTAAGAAGGATTAACTAACAAAAAAAACACACTAAAAACGTCAGCTAAAAAAACAACCAGAACGCTGTGATGGTAGCACACGGGAGGAAAGAAAGAGAGGGAGCGAGGCACAGGGATATGGGAACAGAGAGGAAGATATGATGAAGAGAAGGAGAGAGGCACAGGGATATGGGAACAGAGAGGAAGATATGATGAAGAGAAGGAGAGAGGCACAGGGATATGGGAACAGAGAGGAAGATATGATGAAGAGAAGGAGAGAGGCACAGGGAATAAAAGGGAATGACAAGGACAGAGAGAGAAAGAGAGACTGAATGGAGCTGGCATGGAGCTAGCATCGCCCCTCTGTATCCTTGCGCTTTTGTGTCCTCATCAGGAGATCTATGCCAGGCTGCCTATACCCACACATACACACACCCCTGCCAATACTGCGAAACACACCCAACCTCCCACCCTCCACACAGACACACACAGTCCATTCAGCATTCAGAGCATCCCGCAATGACACACACAGACAGTGGATCTGTTTCATAACAACAAGCAGACTAGCCAGCCTCTCCCTCTTTCTCTCCTTCACACACGAACACACACAAACACACCCTACCGTGCGCGGATGGGGGCAGGTGTGCTCGAGCTCCTCCATGTTTCCCCTAAAGGCTCATGGGATACGGCGGCTGAACCCCCTGTCTGTGACTCAGCATCAGTGAGATGATCCCCCCCTCTCTCTCTCTCTCTCTCTCTCTCTCTCTCTCTCTCTCTCTATTTCTCTCTTCCTCGCTCTGCCTTTGTCCCCTCCCTCTTCACTTCCCTGTGTATCCCCACCCACTCTGCCCTCCTCTCTCCTTCCCTCTATTCCACCTCTTCCATCCATCTCTCCTCCCCCTCTCCTCCTCTCTTTGGCAGAGTGATCCCTCACTCACAGACCAGCAGCCAAGCACCTCCAAACTCTAGCCATGGCGATGACAAAAATGAGAGAGAGCTCCAATCAGAGCACAGATCCCACTGTCTCATTTGCATGGAGGACAAGGATTGGCTGAGCTGGCTTGGACCATCAGTGAAGTATGGCATTGAGCATCAGTGTCTAGGAGGCTGTATCTCAATAGTCTACAGTTGCTCTCCTCTCCTCTGAAAACACAATATAGGTGAAAGTAATATGATACATGCACATTGAGGTTCCTCCCTGTGCTGTGTCCCAACAGTCTTAACCGGCTTCTGTTTCTTGTCCCCTTTCCTCTTTGAGGATAGGTGAAAGCAGAAGGCTTTTACAGCAGAAGACACCTATCCAGTGCTTTTGGAGATCAGTTGTTATGGCGAAAGGAGGAGAGGAGAGGACACATTTAAGAATATACAAGGAACAGTATCTGTTTTCTACTGAATTACACTGATACACGGAATAGAGAAGACATTCTATCTATATGAAGCAGCAGGAACAGGACATGGAAGTGGATCTTGCTGAACTTTACACTTCTCTCTCCTGTCTCTATCTTTACTTCTCTCTACCCTAGAGCATCCTCTCACTTTCTTTCTTTCTTTCTTTCAGTCTCACTTTCAACCACTTTATGTAAGAGTCTCCTAGACTTTTAATCTTTAAATAAAAGTTCAAAAACATATAGGAAACCATCTCATAGTCAGAGACAACTTTAGTTGTCTTGGGTTGAATTTCATGATCCATGCTTACCTCACCACAGCCACAAAAAGTAACCTGGGAGAAAATACCTGATAGCCTACTTAATTTCTAACATGAGGATTGCCCAAGCCCATTATCTCGTGCCATAAAGGTCCAGACATCTTGTCATAGTACACTTAGGCTATAGGTAAGTAGTACATAGTTGGTTGGCTGACTTACCGTGCCCGATTCCCTCTTATGTCCGACCGCAACGGGTGCAACAGGATCGCATGCATAATCGTGCGTTCCATTGCTTGTACGCCCCACCATCTTGAGAGATCCGTATCTGTCCGTCGTCAGTCAACCATTGAGTATGTAAAAACGGTCCTGGCTTTCCCCTTCCCTCGTTCCACCCGTCGCCAACAGGCAGCGAGACCCGGACACTGACACACAGCGTGCAAGTGTCGCGGACCAAACGGAGAGCCAGACCACGCGCACGAGCCTCAGGAAACACCAGCCAACATAGAAGATTAGGGTTAGGCATCCAGGTCGGCGTGCGCGTTTTTAAAAACCGCTGGCGGGGTCGGGACCGCACGCATGACCGACCACACATCACATGCATGACCGACCACTCCGGGGGACAGCAGGGACATAGGCCTAGTTCACCAACAATGTCCAATTGGTGGGTCATGTTCCGCCACCAAGTGGGCTGAACAAACGAGTAGGCTGTGTCCAGGTTACTAAAGTTTGTGGCCAAATTAGGTTGTCTCTTGAAAAAACACTACACAGTAAAATCGCCCGTGTTAAATTAGCAGTGTCCAAAGTGATTCACTCCCCTAGATTTGGGGTTAGTGCAATCCTAGATCCTTGGGACGTCCCTACCACAAACCCTAACCCCTACCCTAACCTTAACCATAACCCTTACCTACACATAACCTTAACCCTTACCCTTACCAGTTAAAATGTCAACTTCAATGAGGTGACGTCAGAGTTGGGACGTCTCAAGGATTCCAAATAGCAAGGACACTAGATTTCGTTGAACATCCTGCAGTATCAAACGACCCCTAGTGTGGATGTAGATAACCTCTAGTTATGGTGTAATTTTTAAAACTCTAATTAGTTTAAGAAATATCACAAGTCAGCCCACAAATTTCCGTTGCTGCCTTCAAGATTCTCATAAATGCCATTATGAGGCATCACCTTGCAGCGAGGTAGGCCTTGATCATGACTCTTAGTTCCATTCCATTACACATAAGTGCATTTGAAAAGTATTCAGACCCCTTGACTTTTTCCACATTTTGTTACATTACAGCTTTATTCTAAAATGGATTAAATTGTTTTTTTTTCTTATTCTCATCGATCTACACACAATACCACATAATCACAAAGCAAAAATAGGTTTTTAGAAATGTTCGCACATTTATTAAAAACAAACAACTGAAATATCACATTTATGTACAGTACCAGTCAAACGTTTGGACACACCTACTCATTCAAGGGCTTTTCTTTATTTGTACTATTTTCAACTTTGTAGAATAATAGTGAAAACATCAAAACTATGAAATAACACATATGGAATCTTGTAGTGACCAAAAAAGTGTGAAACAAATCAGAAAATATATTTTATATTTGAGATTCTTCAAATAGCCACCCTTTGCCTTGATGACAGCTTTGCACACTCTTTTAAAAACATTTTTTTTTTTTTAATTTATGTATTTTTTTAATGTATTTTTTTAGGGGGAATGGATCAGCTTAATATTGCAGATAGATTGTATCTTCTATCAATGTAATTGTCTGCATCACTTCCAATCCCCCATGTTTTTTTATTTTTATATATATATATATATACTCCCCTTTATTACCTTTCAACCCCACCATCCTTTCCCTACTTGGAGTAAATTAGTGAACAACAATGCCCAGGCCTCTACTTCCGGTCTATACTTACTATCTACACCTTATGAACAGAGTTAATTTTACAATAATTCTATTATATATATATTTTTTATTTTTTATTTTTTATTGCTCCTGAACTTCTTCTACTCTCAACCTCTCCGATCATTTTCATGATGTCCATCCGGTTTGCTTCTATATGCCATATCTTTCTAACTTTGCTCTTTCCCAAAAGCTCCCAACATACAACCTATATACTTATTATGGACACAGTATGCTTACATTATTAGCTATCTTTGTTATTATTTGTTGTTATTTGTTATTAGTCCCATCCTTCAACTCTATTCAATACCTCCCATCTATCTCTTAACACCATCCATATAGGATTTCTATTTGCCATATATATTTCAACCGTACTGTGATGTTTTACAAAAGTTCTGAACCTTTCTATTCTCATTGCTTCTACAGATTGTGAATTAAAAATAAACATTTTTGCTAAAAGTATTATTATATTATTGATTGATTGACTATGACTTTTCAGATCACCCAGTAATGCTATCTGCAAGGTTAGTTCCAGGTAAATATTGCAATCCTTTAGCCATTCCTGGACCTGTGTCCAAAAACAAGCTACAAATGGACAGAACCAAAACAAATGATCTAATGATTCTGTCTCTTCACAGCAAAATCTGCAGAGCTGGGAAGATTGTTTCCCCCATATAAATAACATTCTATTGGTAGCAAGAATTTTATATAATAATTTAAATTGAAAGATTCTAATTTTTGAATCCGGTTTCGTTTTGCATGTCAGTTCATAAACACTACGATCGGTACGTCAAAGATCTCTTCCCAACTATTTTGCAATCTATATGGGACGGCTGTCAATCCTTTGGTCCTTAAGTGAAACTGATATACTTTTTTATTTATCACAGTTTTCCTTAACCAATTATGTTCTTTAATGCAAGGCCGACAGACAAGTTCCTTACTTTCTCCCCCTTCCACTTTCCTCTTCCACTTTTGCGGTAAGGCTGCAATTATTTGGTTGTAATTTTGGGTAGAGCAGACATTTCCATATGTTTTTGTCAGCTGCATGTGCGACATAACTCCACCAGTCCTACCGATGATATCATTTACGAAGATTATACCTTTTTTAAACATTCTGTCAAAAAAGAAAGGTTTTTTGTCAATTAGTATATTTGAATTTAACCACAATATTTGTTGCATTATTTGTTCTGTCGTTTCTGGAGGATTAAATTGAAATTGCAACCAACTTTCTATGGCTTGTTTTAGAAATAGTGACATTTGGGAGATTATTTCCTTTTCAAGTAACTGAAAGTGAGAGGTTGTAATCTGAATAAAGGGAAAAAGGCCTTTCTTGAACATTGGGTGAGACAATTTTACTAATTTGCTTGAGAACCAGTTCGGATTTAAGTATAACTTTTGTATGACTGAAGCTTTTAGTGATAGGTCTAATGCTTTAATATTTAATAATTTCTGTCCTCCGAATTCATATTCATTTTATAAATATGCTCTTTTAATTTTGTCTGGCTTGCCGTTCCAAATAAAATTGAATACTTTTTTCTCATATAATTTAAAGAACTGTTCGCTAGGCGTAGGCAAGACCATAAGCAAATAGGTAAACTGGGATAATACTAAAGAGTTAATCAGGGTGATTTTTCCACAAATTGACAGGTATTTTCCTTTCCATGGTGGTAAGATCTTATCTATTTTTGCTAACTTTCTATTAAAATTTATTGAAGTGAGATCATTTATTTCCTTTGGGCTATGTATTCCGAGTATATCCACATCACCATCAGACCATTTTATTGGTAAACTACATGGTAATGTAAAAATTGTATTTTTTAGTGATCCAATACGTAATATAGTACATTTGTCATAATTTGGTTGTAATCCAGAGAGGTTAGAAAATGTATCTAGATCCTCTATGAGGCTGTGGAGGGATTCTAGTTGTGGATTTAAAAGAAAACATGAATCATCAGCGTACAATGACACCTTTGTTTTTAAGCCCTGTATTTCTAATCCTCTGATATTATTATTGGATCTGATTTTAATAGCTAACATCTCGATGGCCACAATAAATAGATATGCCGATAGTGGACAACCTTGTTCCACTCCTCTTGACAGTTTAAAACTTTATGAGAAATAGCCATTATTTACTATTTTACACCTAGGGTTACTATACATGATTTTGACCCATTTTATAAGAGATTCTCCTAAACTGAAATGCTCCAGGCATTTATATATAAACCCCAGTCGAACTTTATCAAATGCCTTTTCGAAGTCTGCTATGAATAGCAGGCCTGGTTTCCCATATTTTCCATAGTGTTCTATTGTTTCCAATACTTGCCTTATATTATCTCCAATGTATCTTCCATGTAAAAAACCTGTCTGATTAGAATGAATAATATCCGACAATACCTTTTTAATTCTATGCGCTATACATTTTGCTAGGATTTTTGCATCACAACACTGAAGTGTAAGGGGCCTCCAATTTGTAAATGGACTGGATCTTTATATTTTCCACTTGTATCCTGTTTCAGTAATAATGAGATCAGACCTTCTTCTTGAGTGTCAGATAATCTACCATTTACATAGGAGTGGTTAAAACATGCTAATAACGGTCCTCTTAGTATATCAAAAAAGGTTTGGTATACCTCGACTGGTATGCCATCCAACCCTGGAGTTTTCCCAGACTTAAAGTCTTTAATTGGATCCAGAAGTTCCTCCTCTGTAATTTCACCTTCACATGAGTCTTTCTGTGTGGCTGTTAATTTGACATTATCAATAGAAAAAAAATCTCTACAATTAGCTTCAGTTAGAGGAGATGGAGGCGACTGAAAATAAAACATATGCTTAAAGTACTTTGTTTCTTCCTTCAAAATATCATTTGGTGAATTATGGGTGACTCCGTCAATTGTAACCAGTTTCATTAAGTTATTTTTTGGTAGCATTCCTATGTTGAAGATTAAAAAAGAATTTTGTGCATTTTTCCCCATATTCCATCCAGTTTGCTTTATTTTTATAATATATTACACTTGATCTTTCTTGAATAAGTTTCTCAATTTCTTTGTGTTTTTCCTCTAATTTATTCTGAGCCTCTATGTTACAATTTTTATTGCCATCTATCTGTTCTGTTAGACTTTCTATTTCCTTTCTTAGTATAAACTCTTTTGACCTAAATTGCTTTTCTTTTCGAGATGAGTACTGAATTGCATGGCCTCTAAAGGCACATTTAAAGGTGTCCCATACAATAAGGGGATTCGCTGTACCTATGTTATGTTGGAAAAAGTCAGTTATAAATTCATTTTGATCTAATTATAAATACATTATCATCCAATAGGCTTTGATAAAATTTCCAATATCCTCGCCCACGTGGAAATTCAGTAAGAGTAATGTATATGCCTATTATATGATGGTCCGAC